ACTAAAAATGCAAAATTAGCCAGGTGTGATGTCACATGCCTGTAATCTCAGCTACTTGGGAGGATGAGGCAGGAGAATGCTTGAACCTGGGAGGCAGAGGTTGCAGTGAGCTGAGATCGTGCCATTGCACTCCAGCCTGGGCAACAAGAGTGAAACTCTCTTTCATAAAAAAAAAAAAAAAAAAAAAAAAAGTACACAAAACGAAGTTTCATGAGGAGTGAGGAAAGAAATATTTAAAGCAAAACCTTTATTAAAAAATTGGCCAAGCTGTTTTGCTTTGAGCTAATTTCCGTGAACCAACATATAAAATGTAGTTTCATTTTGGAATCATGATTTTCTTTTTTAGTTTTCCTTTTTTAGGACAAGATCTGGCTCTGTCACCCAGGCTACAGTGGAATGGCACAATCTCAGCTCACTGCAACTTCCACCCACAATTCAAGCCATCCTCCCAACTCAGCCTCCCAAGCGGCTGGGACTACAGACACACATCACCATGCCTGGTTAATTTTTGTGCTTGCACGTGTGAGTGCATGTGTACAGACAGGGTTTCACCGTATCGTCCAGGCTGGTCTCAAACTCATGCGCTCAAGCAATGCCCCCACTGCACTTAGCCAAGTTTCATAACAACAATAAAGAGAGCATTCTCTAGCAAGTTACAGAATTTCAACATCATGTCAATAGTAAACTATTAAAGCACTTTTAAATAGACATGTGTCTATTGAATAGACATGTGACTATACTTGAGGTCTAATAAAGGAAACTCTTGCTTTGAAATGAACATTAAATATTTCAGTCTCTTTTACCTCAACTTCAAATTTCTGCCTCTGAAGTCTTCAGTGTCCTTCAAAGGCAGAGAAATATAGGAACCCATACTGGCCCCAATCTCCATCTCCAAGCATACTACATTGCTGGCTGCGCTAGAACCTAAGGCACTAAGGCACAGAATGCCATCACTTATTCTCTACCTGTATGTAGAAACTAATACTTCTTTTTTTTTTTTTTTTTTTTTGAGACGGAGTTTCGCTCTTGTTACCCAGGCTGGAGTGCAATGGCGCGATCTTGGCTCACCGCAACCTCTGCCTCCTGGGTTCAGGCAATTCTCCTGCCTCAGTCTCCCAAGTAGCTGGGATTACAGGCATGCACCAGCATGACCAGCTAATTTTTGTATTTTTAGTAGAGACGGGGTTTCATCATGTTGACCAGGATGGTCTCAATCTCTTGACCTTGTGATCCACCTGCCTCGGCCTCCCAAAGTGCTGGGAATACAGGCGTGAGCCACCGTGCCCAGCCTAGGAACTGATACTTCTACAATTCATTACTGGACAGGTCAGTCAAGACAAAATTGTTTTCTGCAGGACACCAAGCAATCACTTATTTTTCTTTAACTAAAACCAAGACCACTCTCCAAAACTAAGAAGAGCTTGGTGAAATGACGTTGGAGGTTGACAGCAATACTTGCAGACTTTTTTTTTAAACAAGGTAATTTTTTACCATCTATATTTTAAATAAGCTAAATTTTGAAATAACAAACTTCATCTTATTTTCATGGTGCAAAAGCCTGAGATAGTTCCTCTGTGACACGGAGAAAACATCCTGCAAGGAGGAAGGGCTTCTGCAATAAAATGATTACTATACATTGCAGCATCTTTTTTTTTTTTTTCCCAAACAGAGTTTTGTTCTGTCTCCCAGGCTGGAGTGCAATGGCGAGATCTCGGCTCACTGCTACCTCTTGCCTCTTGGGTTCAAGCAATTCTACTGCCTCAGCCTCCTGATCAGCTGGGATTACCCATGTTGCTCAGGCTGGTCTCGAACTCCTAACCTCAGGTGATCGACCACCTCAGCCTCCCAAAGTGCTGGGACTACAGGCATTACCTTAAGATACATATTGCAGTATCTTAAGATAAACTTTTATGTTCAAGTAGTGACCTGACAAATGAGGATCTTGCATCCACCAAAACTATATTAGTGCTTTTTACACAATATGAATGCACATTTGCAATGGATAAGCATTTAAGATACAGTCTCTCGGCTGGGACAGTGGCTCATGCCTGTAATCCCAATACTTTGGGAGGCCGAGGTGGGTGCATCAGTTGAGGTCAGGAGTTGAAGACCAGCCTGGCCAACATGTTAAAACCCCAATCTACTAAAAGTGCAAAAATTAGCTGGGCATGGCGGTACATATCTGTAATCCCACCTACTCAAGAGGCTGAGGTGGGAGAATCGCTAGAGCATGGGAGACCGAGGTTGCAGTGAGCCAAGATGACGCCGCTGCACTCCAGCCTGGGCTACAGAGACTCTCTCAAAAACAACAAGACAGAGTCTCTCTTTAGTTTATGTTTCAAGTGTGGTTTTCTAGCTCATAAATTTGATCATTTATTCAACAAATACATGTCAGGCACTATTATATAATACTGTTTTAACTGCCAATGGTGACAGGTAACTACAGCACATCTAGGAAATACAAATTCTGTGAAAAATTTTACTAAGAAATACTGGGTAAAGCTGGTCACGGTGGCTCACACCTCTAATCCCAGCACTTTGGGAGGCTGAGGCAGGCAGACCACATGAGGCTAGGAGTTTGAGACCTACCTGGCCAACATGGTGAAACCCCATCTCTACCAAAGATATGAAAATTAGCCAGGTGCATGCCTGTAATCCCAGCTACTCGGGTGGCTGAAGCATGAGAATCGTTTGAACCCTGGAGGCAGAGGGTTGCAGGGAGCCACTGCACTTCAGCCTGTGATAGAGCAAGACCCTGTCTCAAAAAAAAAGAGAAAGAAATGAGTGAAAACTGAGGCATTTAACATTATTAGGAAAATGTAATGCAAGCTCATGTACTTGGAACAGCATTTCAGAATAGAAATTCTACTCCTTTCGGCAAAATACATAATTTCGGCACATAATTTCTCCACTATCATAAAGAGGAGTGCAAAAAATACACAATAAATAGGTAAAAACTGTGACGAGGGTAGATGACATAAAAAAAGATAAGCCAAACAGAATTATGTTATGTCATTAAATTCGTATTGCCAATTTAGGTCCCAATTAGGTTGTGGTATGCATCTGTATCTGTCAACAAAATGTTCATTTCATTGGCTTACTAGGCCAATTCTTCCATAAGTGCATTAAAGGAATACAAAGGTTGAATCTCAAATAGTGCAATCATAGCCAATGAAATACAAGTATTTTGTTCACAGACACAAAGGCATACCACATACGCATATCTACGAAACCTAGGACTAAATTTTCGTATCTGCTAACTACAATAACTGTTCACTTAACATCTGTCTTATCTTGAGCTTATTGGGCCAGATTTCTAAAACTTAGGTCTGAATCAAAAATGAAAAATCAAGAAAACCCAAAAGGTATGCACGAAAGGGCCTACCAAACAGTACGTAATGACAAGTGATTAAAGCAAAAAGATCAAGTTGCTAAGTTATAAGGAAGCCGCTGTGCATCTGGACCTTAGCCCAGAACACAAAAATTGGGAGGAGAAACGCTGGTGGTTTAAAGGGGACACGGGTTCCAAATTTGCTGCCTCATTCTTTCATCTGCAGAAGCTTCCTGAAATTGCCTGTTTCTACTGAAATGGCCATAACCACACTGAAAAATCCAACAGGGCTCCAAAGCTCTCAGACAGGTGGAAATTCACTGTTAGAAAAACATGTAGAGAATAACACATCTAAGGTTAAGATCAGAAATTTTTTCTTTAGAACCCAAGATTCTGCCAAAGAAGACAATGAAGCATTAAAAAAAATTCTCAAAATCCTTTAACATAACTAAACAGAGAGCAAAATTATCTCTACTCTCACAAATTTACGGACCTTCCTTTGACAAAACGCATTTTTTCCTTCAAAGACTCAGTTCCTTTAAGAACCACCACCTGCCAATGGAGTGAGTGCGTGTGTATGTTTGTTTGTGTGTGTGTGTGTGTGTGTGTGTGTGTGTGTTTTCCTTAAGACGGCATCTGCACTGCAGATTTCTGCATAAGGGGAGCTTGCCAGCCAGCTCCCACCAGCAGGCAGACGCATATACAATGGAAACTAAAGGAGGCCTGCAGCTTCCCTCTTAGTCTTTCACAGAGATCGGAGAAGAGGACTCAACCAGCCCATGCTTTGTCTCAATGTTCTCCCCCTCCCCCTTTCTGCAGTAAACACCCCCCTTTGTTATACTCGATCAACAGTAGCCCACAGAAAACATGAAATCAAAACATGTTGATAGCTTAGCATGACTCTATTTTCTAGAATATAAGCGACTGATTGCGTGTCCCCACCCCCACGCAGCGGCAGGGAAGAGCAGGCTGTTGCAGATACAGCCACGGATCCATCTTGGACCATCAGCAGCTCCCTCCCAAATCTTCCCTGAGCTATTCTCATCACGCCTCCTTCTACCTCAGAGCCTCAGAAAAATCCGGCATTCATGGAGTCTATCCGAAAACATTAAAAGGAAGGAAAAAAAGCTACAATGTTTCCATTAAACTTCCTCATCCTCCCCATGGGCAGCCAAAAATATTTCGGAGGACTATCGTGAATATTTGATTATGTCAACACCTGTCTGCACACCTGCAATGCAACCCTTTCACCACCATCCCCTCAAAAATCGTTAACAAATCGTTTCTCCCACCACCCACCTGCCCCTATCCTCTCGATCTCGCTAATCCTCTACTAAATCACCCGGGTTCACCATATATAACAAACAATTCTCCATTTTATCCCACGAGCTGGTATTTTTCCCACCTGCCCAGTCTTGGCATTAACGCCCACTGGACTATCTCCCCGCCCCCAACCTGTTTTCCTCACACCCCGTTATTTCCTCACCGCCTGCGCAACCTTATGTTCCCCTTCCCCTTTGCCCATTTTCCAAACGCTCTTCCCCGGGGGCTGAAGCCGTCGGTAGTCGATGGTAATTCACCCTCCTCCCGCCTCGCCTCCTAATTCCCCCAGCTCCAGGGCCCCCAGCTCGCTCTGCTTCCCAGGGCGGGGGCTCCCCGCGCGCCTCACCCGCACAGGAGGAGCTGCAGCTCTTCGTTCCCAGGGCGGGGCAGCCTCCCGGGCTCCCGCCGCCGCCGGGCGCAGACGGCTCGGCTCCGGAGGACGAGGAGGAGATGGAAGGGGATTGAGTGGCCGCCGACGGCTCCGCCATGGCTACGCGAGCAAGGGCGGGAGAAGGGTGAAGAGAGACACGGGGCGGAAGAAAGGGAGGGGAAATAGAATAATCCGGCAACTGGCTTGCCCAAGTCCTTTCACCCTGCCTGCTCCGGGGACAGACTCCGACAGACTGACTGACTGACTCAGCCGAGCGCAGCGAGAGGGCGGGAGCGCGAGCGCGCACGCGCACAAAAGCCCCCGAGTGGGTGCCAAGGCGCGCAGTGGTGCAGGGCGCAGGCGCAAGAACCGTTTCTCCGCGCTCCTGCCGGGAAGGAGGGGCAAAGCTGGTCTCACGCGGCGCCTCGCACGCGGCGCCTCGCGCGCGGCGGGGTGAGGAGCGTCCTTTGGGACCAGACTTAAGGGGCGTGACCAAGCCCCAAGCCCCGCCCACGACTGCGGCCGAATCGGGGAGCTGCGGGGTAGTATTGCCTCCTACATCTTTATGTGAATGTTTTAGGGTCGGTAGCTTATGCATTTTAACGCTAGAAATTTCTCGGTGCTTCCATTAGCTGGAAACTCCCTTTCCCATACATTCCAGAGCCTATGTCTTTTGTTTGGTGCATTCCCACCTGTGACTCCAATAAAAAGTGAAAACCAGAAGGTAGAGTAGCCCACTGTGCAAGATGCTTTGCGAATCTCTCTGGCTGTGTCGTAATATCTCCTCACCGAGAGGAAGAGATGGCACGGCCCCGCATTTGGTAGGTGGAGAAAGATGCTATACAGAATGAAAAACGATTACTCATTCCAATCACATTGCAATGCAGTCGCAGAACCTGCTTCGTATTCTTATCTCGTTACTGTTGCCAAAGAAGGGTCCACCTTGTGTCTTAAAGAGGTTTTCTTTTCCTCCGAATAGACTGTCAGATAGAGACGACATATTTTAGAAGAAAAAAAAAAAAGAAAAAGCTGAGCTGATGAAAAAGAGCCAGGAGATAAGAACATCTTGGCTGTAATTATGGGGGATGATCAAATTAGATATTAAAAATTCAGAATAAGAACGTAGTCAGTGGCAGAGGCCCGTAGTCTCAGCTATGGCTGAGAAGGGAGGATCCCTTGAGCCCAGGAGTTGGAGTCCAGCCTGCAACACAGCAAGAACCTTCCTGCCTTAAAAAAAAAAAAAATAAAAATAAAATAAAAAATCCATGCCCAGAACTGGGTGTAAAAAAAAGTAAAAAAAAAAAAAAAAATTCAGAATAAGGCACAAAATACACATGTCTGAATTTTATTCATAGACCAAAAGGGATCCTTAGTATAACATGTATTTAAAGCCAGATTTCTGGGCTATATTGGCTTTTGTTCATTTTTTGCTTTTCCTGGGCTGGCTTGTCAAATTCAAAGCCTTCTCCCCACATCTGGTCAAAATATTTGAAAGGTGCATAGTTGTTTTTTAAAGGAGGACCATATCCTGAAAATAATAAAAATCAAGGCTGTCGACTCTTACTGCTAAAGCAGCAATCGATGACCCAAAGTGCAATTGCACAATCAGCAGATCCAGTAAAGATGCAACCTCATGAAGGGGGAGGTGGTCAGCCAGGCTGCCACAGAGGAGAAAGGCGATCTGATCAGTGGAAATCTTCTAGAACAAGCGGTGTACTACATCTGCCCTTGAGTTTTTAAGGTCAAGTAAAGCCCCAGGGGGTGGGAGGATGACTCCTGGCCTTTGCAATGCTCTGAAAAAGGCATAGAAAAATATTTCCCAAAATAACTTTATGGCTAATATCTTACCCTGGCACTTACAGCGTCTGCTGATAATGCAGCAAACTGTCTCTTAGATGGCAAAGGGAAATAATAGCAGATCTGATAAGCCAGTTATCTACCCATTCTGATACATGCATACATTTTTTAAACATTTATGTTTTTGGGGAAGCTGTTTTCTTCTTCTGTCCTTCTTTCTTGCCTATTAAACTCTCCGCTCCTTGAAACAAAACAAAACAAATCTACATTATTAGGTGCTGGATAAGGAAATAAATGATGCTGGTACCTAACTCTGACAGCACTTGCTACAATCTAGAGACTCCAGCTAGAAGGAAGTCAATTTTTCTAACAACTAGAAGCAGAGAAGTTAAAAAGCAAGACATGCATGTGGTCTTACTCATCTTTTCAGACCCTTTGGAGTTTTTTTTTTTTTTTTTTTTTAAGAAGCCCTTATGTTTAGTCTAATTCCTAAAGATATATTTCCTTTCTGCTTTCTCTTGCTTGCTGTATCAGGCTACTTCCCTGAGACTGATTCTTGCTTGAGCTATTTGCTTACTTGTATATATGATTTGTTCTATGGCTGTGGTTTTTTTTTTTTCTTTTTCTTCCTTTTTTTTTTTCTTGGAGCCAGTGTGTGTGCTGGCTCTTTGTGTGCTGGGATTTGTTTTTTTGAGACAGAGTCTTGCTCTGTCGCCCAGGCTGGAGTTGAGTGGTGCAATCTCAGCTCACTGCAACCTCTGCCTCCCGGCTTCAGGCGATTCTTCTGCCTCAGCCTCCCAAGTAGCTGAGACTACAGGCATGCACCACCATGCCTGGCTATTTTTTGTATTTTTAGTAGATGTGGGGTTTCACCATATTGGCCAGGCTGGTCTCGAACTCCTGACCTCGTGATCTGCCTGCCTTGGCCTCCCAAAGTGCTGGGATTACAGGGGTGAGGCACCACACCCCATCCAAGATGGGATTTTTAAAGTGCTCACTGGATGGCATGGTGGCTTATTCCTCTAATCCCGGCAATTTGAGAGGCCAATACGGGAGGATCACTTGAGCCCAGAAGTTCAAGATAAGCCTGGACAATATAGCAAGACCTCATCTTGAAAAATAAAATAAAGTGCTCACTGGAGTATGGTCATTTCTCAGAGGTTTCCTTGAACACCTGAGGAACTCTTCTAGGTCTTTTTTTTTTTTTTCTATTTTTTTTTTTTTGAGACGGAGTTTCGCTCTTGTTACCCAGGCTGGAGTGCAATGGCGCGATCTCGGCTCACCGCAACCTCCGCCTCCTGGGTTCAGGCAATTCTCCTGCCTCAGCCTCCTGAGTAGCTGGGATTACAGGCACGCACCACCACGCTCAGCTAGTTTTTTGTATTTTTAGTAGAGACGGGGTTTCACCATGTTGACCAGGATGGTCTCGATCTCTCGACCTCGTGATCCACCCGCCTCGGCCTCCCAAAGTGCTGGGATTACAAGCTTGAGCCACCGCGCTCGGCATTTTTTTCTATTTTTGAGACAGAGTCTCACTCTGTTGCGCAGGCTGGAGTGCAATGGTGCAATCTCGGCTCACTGCAACCTTCCCCTCCTGGATTCAAGCAATTCTCTGCCTCAGCCTCTGGAGTAGCTGGGATTACAGGTGCCCACCACCATGCCCCGCTAATTTTTGTATTTTTAGTAGAGATGGGGTTTCACCATCTTGGCCAGACTGGTCTTGAACTCCTGACCTCATGATCCACCTGCCTCGGCCTTCCAAAGTGCTAAGATTACAGGCGTGAGTCACCCTACCTGGCCTAAGTCTCTTTTTATTTATTTATTTATTTTATTTATTTTTTTGAGATAGAGTTTTGCTCTGTCGCCAGGCTGGAGTGCTGTGGCTCGATCTTGGCTCACTGCAACTTCTGCCTCCAGGGTTCAAGTGATTCCCTTGCCTCAGTCTCCTGAGTAGCTGGGATTACTGGCACGTGCCACCATGCCTGGCTAACTTTTTGTATTTTAGTAGAGATAGGGTTTCACCATGTTGGTCAGGATGGTCTCGATCTCCTGACTTCATGATCTGCCCGCCTCAGCCTCCCAAAGTGCTGGGATTACAAGCATGAGCTACTGCACCTGGCCTGGACTGCTATTTTATACAGACAATTTCTCTTTTTTTTGAGACAGATTGCTCTTGTCACCTATACTGGAGTGCAATGGCACAATCTCAGCTCACACAACTTCTGCCTCCTGGATTCAAGGAATTCTCCTGCATCAGCCTCCCCAGTAGCTAGGATTACAGGTGCATGCCACCACACCCAGCTAATTTTTGTATTTTTAGTGGAGACGGAGTTTCACCATGTTGGCCAGGCTGATCTCGAACTCCTGACCTCAGGTGATTGGCCCTTCTCCCAAAGTGCTGGGATTAAAGGCATGAGCCACTGTGCCCGGTGTATACAGATAATTTCTCAGTTTAGCTTCTAGGCCATCTCATTGCCCTATGTTTTCTTGACTTTTAGAAAAAATTACTAAAAATACAAAAAAATTAGCTGGGCTTGGTGGCACACACCTGTAATCCCAGCTGCCTGGGAGGCTGAGGCAGGAGACTCTCACTTCAACCTGGAAGGTTGAGGCCACTGCACTCCAACCTGGGCAACAGAGTGAAACTCCATCTCAAAAAAAAAATTAATATATAGTCACAGATCATTCATATATATGCACACAAATATTCAGAAATATATATGCTATAAAGTTTTATCACTAACTTCCTCCACTCCTCTATACACATATAGGTAGCTACTACTGGGATTTTCTTGTGGCAAACATAAGCAAAAGTGAATACAGCAAATCTGTATCCTCATCCCCACCGCCTTTTGTTTTGTTTTTTTTTGTTTTGAGATGGAGTCACTCTGTCACCCAGGCTAAAGTGCAGTGGTGGCATGATCTCGGCTCACCGCAACCTCTGCCTCATGGGTTCAAGCCGTCCTCCCACCTCAGCCTCCGAAGTCGCTGGGATTACAGGCATGTATTGCCATGCCTGGTTAATTTTGTATTTTTAGTAGAGAAAGTTTTTCACTATGGTGGCCAGGCTGGTCTTGAACTTGTGACCTCAAGTGATCCACCAGACTCAGACTCCCAAAGTGCTGGGATTACAGGTATGAACCACTGAGCTGCCCAATGCTCTTTTTTTTTTTTTTTTTGAGGTAGGGTTTTGCTCTGTTGCTTAGGCTGCAATGCAGTGGTACAATTATGGCCCATTGCATCCTCTAACTCCTGGGCTCAAGCAATCCTTCCACCTCAGCCTCCCAAGTAGCTGGGACCACAGGCACCCCACTACACCTAGCTAATTTATTTGGTTATTTTTGGTAGAGATGAGATCTCCCTATGTTGCCCAGACTGTTTTTTTTTTTTTTTTTTCCGAGATGGAATTTTGCTCTTGTTGGCCAGGCTGGATGCAATGGCTCAATCTCAGCTCACTGCAACCACTGCCTCCTGGGTTCCAACAATTCTACGTCAGCCTCCCGAGTAACTGGGATTACAGGTGCCTGGCACCATGCCTGGCTAATTTTTTTGTATTTTAGCACAGATGGGGTTTCATCATACTGGCCAGGCTGGTCTCGAACCCCTGATATGAGGCAATACACCTGCCTTTGCCTCCCAAAGTGCTAGGATTACAGGTGTGAGTGACCGCACTTGGCTCCCACACTGGTCTTGAACTCCTGGGCTCAAACAATCTTCCTGGTTAGACAGTTGTGCTGTTGGCTGAAATACCAATAATGAAGTGGCTGATAAAGTCTTAAGCTTTTACTGTGTTACCATGTTGAGGACCTAATATTCAACTTTATAACACCATATCAAGTGAAGTTGGCTATTTTTTTTTTTTTTTTTTTTTTTTTTTTTTTTTTTTTTGAGATGGAGTCTCGAACTGTCACCCAGGCTGTAGTGCAGTGGCATGATCTTTGCTCACTGCAATCTTTGCCTCCTGGGTTCAAGCAATTCTCCTGCCTCAGCCTCCCAGGTAGCTAGGACTACAGGCGTGCGCTGCCACGCCCAGCTAATTTTTTTGTATGTTGGCCCAGATGGTCTTGATCTCCTGACCTTGTGATCCACCAGCCTCAAGACAGTAATGCCTGTGCTGGGAGTAAAGGCATGAGCTACCTCGCCCTGCCCTTTTTTTTTTTTTTTTTTAATGAAGATGCCAAATCATTGCCTCATTTAACGCACAAGCCAAATAAGGTATGGAACTGTAAATGATGCCCAGGGATGTGGTATTCCAACCTGTCCCTTCCGAGTTGCATAAATACTGAGCCTGCACATAGATGGTAGAAGGCTGAACTGTGCCCCAGAACAGTCACAGTGAATGATATGTCCTCAGCCGTTTACACCACAAGACTGTGAGTCTCTGGAGGTTAGGAATGTGTCTTAATGCAGCATCATGACCTATCATGGTATGTGGCACATAACAAATATCCTATTTTTGGAAAGCTTTGGAACCTGAGTCATGGTGGAGGTCATTGCAGAAAACAATTTTGCTGTTTTTGTGTTTCATAAACCACTTGAGTATCTTGAATGTTTATGACTTTGTTTTGCTTTTCCAGAATGATATGCTGATTATTAATTTTGATCACTAACCACGCAGTTACCATTCCCAAACACAGCTCACTTAGTCTGGAACAACTCTGTGGCTCTTTAAATCATTTTGCAGAAGATGAAATGGGTTCAGACAGGTTAAGTAACTCACTTGACGTTGCATAGCTAGTGAACATCAGAGCCAAAACTCAGAGCCAGGTAAGTCTGATCCCAAAGCCAGTGATCTTAACCACTCAAAATGTCTACATGTCACCTACTTCTGGAAAACCTCAAGGAAAGCTCAACATCTGATCACAGCACATGACTCAATTCAGAGTGAGATGGCTGAAGGCAGGCTGTAATTAGTATCGTCAATATTTGGCATTTTCAGTGTCCACTGTTTTGATAATCCTGGATATTTGAGAAGGAAAGAACAACAACAAAACGTGTTTCTCATTTACAGGGGTTGCTTTCTAAACTGTGACTAATCCTTAAGTCCACCTATAATTTGTACTGTGTTCTTCCAAACGCCCAAAGCTTCTAAAAGGTATGGGGAAGGCTAACGTGCTAACATTGACCTTGATGATGTAATATTGAGACAGATAGATCAGTATTTGCTGTTAACTTCCTGAGAAGCTGGATTTCAGTGAATCTCTGGGGAGCCCTTAAAATAAACTAGGATATTTTGTTCAATAGCAAAAGTTAGGTATTTAATATTAAGGGAACCAGAAAGTGAGTGAGCAGTGTTAGATGTAACATATATCTTCTTCATCCATTATATTAATAGATATTTGAGTCTCTATTATCTGCCCGCAGTATTTAGGTACAGGGGATATAGTAGTGAATGTAGTGAACAAAACGGACAAAAATTCCTGTTTGGAACTTACATTCTAGTGGGGCGAGACAATCACAATGAAAGGTAAAACATAAGTATGAAGGTATGAAGTCTTTTTTTTTCTTTTTTTTTTTTTTGAGTCTGAGTCTCTCTCTTTCTCCCAGGCTGGAGTGCAGTGGTGTGATTTCCACTCACTGCAACTGCTGCCTCCTGGGTTCAAGTGATTTTCCTGCCTCAGCCTCCCAAGTTGTTGAGATTACAGGCACCCACTGCCATGTCTGGCTAATTTTTTGTATTTTTAGTGGAGACGGGGTTTCACCATGTTGGCTAGGCTGGTCTCGAACTCCTGACCTCAGGTTATCCGCCCTCCTCGGCCTCCTAAAGTGCTGGTATTACATGCATGAGCCACTGCTCCTGGCCTTTTATTTTGAGATGGAGTCTTACTCTGTCACTCAGGCTGGAGTGCAGTGGTGCCATTCTGGCTCACTGCAACCTCTGCCTCCCAGGTTAAAGTGATCCTCCTGCCTCAGCCTGCTGAGCAGCTGGGATTACAGGTGCACACCACCACACCCAGCTAATTTTGCATTTTCAGTAGAGATGAGGTTTCACCATGTTAGCCAGGCTGGTCTTGAACTCCCAACCTTAGGTGATCCACCTGCCTTGGCCTCCAAAAGTGCTTTGATTACAGGTGTGAGCAACCGAGCCTGGCCAAGTAGTATGAAGTCTGTTGGAGAAAAGTAACGCAGGGAAAATAAACAGAATGCTGGGATGTGTGTGCAATTTAAAATTCTTACATAATGTGCTGCAATTGTGACAAGTCATTGGCTTTTGGCCTCTCCTTTCTCTGAGCATGTCACATAATGTCCTGGATTTTTGTCATATCCTGTAGGTCCTGCCTTCTGCACATCCAGTGTGAAACTCCAGTAACCACTTGCCCTGAAATTCACTTCTAGTCTCTTGCTGGCCGAAGTTGGCCTAGATCTAACTTATAGTACCTCTAAAGCATGGAAGAGGGTATTCAACAATGTTGAGAGTTTGGGGAGAATGAGAAGTGGCAGGAGAAAGGAAATCAAACAGGACCTCTTTAGGTAGAATCATCTTCACCCATTCACCTTTGGCCGAATCACTCTGCAAATAGAAAGTAGCTCAGTGCGCTTGAGAGGGTCTAGAGGTAGCAGGAAGGAGGTAGATTAGAATGATGAAGGCAGAGGCAGAAATAAGAAAATGGACTTTGTTGAATGTATGAGGCAATGGTGATGTTAAGAGGTGGTGCTTGGGGCTGGGGTTGGGGGTAGATGCTTTAGCTTCCAGTAAGTGCCACCAGCTACTTTTCTTCGGGACAACCACTTCCACTTCCACCAAACTCAGAAACCAATATTCTTCAATTGTGGCAAATTACATGTTCCCAATCACATGTGAAGTATGAATACGAGCATTTTCAAAGCATCTTCTTTTGTATTGATCTACCCACACAGTTTAAGGAAAAGTGTGCTTGGAAAAGCAGCTTCAAAACAAGCCCCTGTAAACTGTTTACAAAAGATGGTCCTGGCTTAGGCTGGACAAAGTCGGTGGAAGAGGTCTCACTGGACTTTTATTATTTATTTATTTATTTTTTGAGATGGAGTCTTGCTGTGTCTTTAGGCTAGAGTGCAGTGGCTTGATCTCGGCTCACTGCAACCTGCACCTCCCGGGTTCAAGTAATTCTCCTGCCTCAGTCTCCTGAGTAGCTGGGATTACAGGCACACGCTGCTACGCCCCGCTAGTTTTTTCGTATTTTATTTTATTTTATTTTATTTTTAAAGATGGGGTTTCACCATGATGGCCAGGCTGGTCTTGAACTCCTGACCTCAGGTGATCCACCCACCTCAGCCTCCCAAAGTGCTAGGATTACAGGCGTGAGCCACAGCGCCCGGCAAGTTTTTTGTATTTTAGCAAAGAGGGGGTTTTGCCATGTTGGCCAGGATGGTCTCAATCTCCTGACCTTGTGGTCCAGCTGCCTTGGCTCCCAAAGTGCTGGGATTACAGGCGTGAGCCACTGCGCCAGGCCTTTTTTTTCTTTTTCTTTTCTTTTCTTTCTTTCTTTCTTTTTTTTTTTTTGAAACAGTCTAGTTCTGCAGCCCAGGCTGAGATGAAGTAGGGCGATCTCGGCTCACAGCAACTTAGGCCTCCTGAGTTTAAGCAATTCTTGAGTCTCGTCCCTTAGCCTCCCTAGTAGCTGGGATTACACGCGTGTGCCACCATGCCCAGATAATTTTTGTGTAATTTGTAAAGACGGGATTTCATCATGTTGCCCAGGCTGGTCTTCAACACTGGAGCCCAAGCAATCCTCCTGCCTCAGCCTCCCAAAGTGCTGTGGCCTGGATTTCTTACATTAGCTATTAGAGTGGTGATGGTGCACATCAGCCCTGGCCAGGGATAAGAATATAAGGAAATGATAATAAAGGTGGTAATGAAGTCACGGCCACCTGCCCTTATGAAGTCAAAATCATTAAAGACCCTGTGACGTTCATGCCATTCAAGATTTAAGGCCTCCCTTCTGCTGCCCATGTGTGCTCCCAGGCCTACTTAAACACCGAAGCCGTCTCACAAGCGTGGGTCTCGAGGCGAAAGCCTCGGCCAGTGGCCTGGTCTGCATGCCAGGCGTCGGCCAGGGCTCGTGGGAGGACCCGGGCCAGCCCGCCCCTTCCCGCACGGCCTCCTGGGAGTTGTAGTTCAGTCGTCGGAGAACCGAGCCGAGTCCCGCCCCAGATGAGTGCGCAGTATGGGGACCGCTGGTCGGGACCCAGTGAGCGCGGGACTACAATTCCCAACGGATCGTAGCACGCTGCGCCCCGCTAACAGGTAGTCGGTGGTTCGCTCCGTGCTCCGGCGGGCGCGCACACGCGGCGGGCGGTGGCGGGATTCCGCCGCGTGCGCTTTCCCGCCTCGCCTCGCTTCGCCTTGCCCAGTGCTAGCCACGCCTCGGGCTGGCCGTTGGGCGTCGCCTATCGCCCCGTGCTCGCTTCGTCGCGGCTCCTCGCGCCCCACCTTCTCGCTAGTTTCTTCTAGAGCCCAGGCTCCGCCTGTTTCCCGCTTCCAGAGCCCGGTTTGTTCCCGCCCCCACCCGTCCCTCTCCTCTGCGCCCCTACTGCTTCTGCTTTGAAGGCGGAGGCTCCATGTTGTCCCCTCAGCGAGTGGCAGCAGCTGCCTCGAGAGGAGCAGGTGAGGCGCCCGATTCTCCCCGGATCGCTCCGCGGCCACCCCTGCCGCGCTCCCTGCTGTAGCTCCGAGGAGATCCCCCGCCCGCGCCACCGCCCTTCCTCGTCCCGGGGCTGGGACCTCGCGTCCCTCGCCGGGGTCCCTCGGTCTCCGAATCTGTGATCGGGGGCTCCTCTTCGGGCCCGGCTGGTCCAGCGAGGACGGCGCCTTCCTTAGCCTTGGGCCGGGGGTGGCCTGCGTCGGGGCTCGGGCCCGGACGCTGCCGGGGCTCCCCGGCGCCTCCTCTGGGCTGCTGCCGCCCCTGGGCGGCCTTCGGAGCTGCGGCCCCGCCGAGCCCCGCCCTGGGCAGAGCCGGGCGCCCCGGGGCGCTGCCCCTCCGTGCCCGGGCAGTCGGGGCGCTCTCGGGCCGGGATATCGGGGCCCGGATGGAGCGGGGAGGTGGATGCTGGTTTGTTCGGCTTTTCTGGAAGTGCTGGAAGGCTGCGAAGTTTCTTGGAAGTTTTATTTTTATCCTAACGACCTTGAGGGACTGACCACAAGTATTAGGAAAGTTGGTTTTCAACCCACACTTAACGCTATAAAGAATTGGCCTAAATTGGATTTTAGCAAGTTCTTTTAGTAAGTACTTTTGGCACGGTGCGTTGTTTTTTTGCTTTCCTGAAGACACGAACCAGTAAAAGTATTAAGTAAAATCAAATAAGGAGTCACTGTGTATTCATGGATCTGATTTAGTTTGTCACTTAGCTTTATTCTAGTGTAATCTGTGTGCTGTTGAAATGACCGTTTTTCACTTGCGAAATCGAAGGGCAGAAAGAACAGTAAAGAATTTTTAGCCGGGCGCGGTGGCTCAAGCCTGTAATCCCAGCACTTTGGGAGGCCGAGGCGGGCGGATCACAAGGTCAAGAGATCGAGACCATCCTGGTCAACATGGTGAAACCCCGTCTCTACTAAAAATACAAAAAATTAGCTGGGCATGGTGGCACGTGCCTGTAATCCCAGCTACTCAGGAGGCTGAGGCAGGAGAATTGCCTGAACCCAGGAGGCGGAGGTTGCGGTGAGCCGAGATCGTGCCATTGCACTCCAGCCTGGGTAACAAGAGCGAAACTCTGTCTCACAAAAAAATAAAAGAATTTTTAAACGAGTCTCAGTTCTCAAATTCTAATACGAGGCAATGGAACGTTTTGTGGAAGTCTTAGAATAACGGACCAAAAATGTACAATTTCACATGTTGGCTTACTTTTGGAGATTTAAGAAGCATAACCCACGGAGTACTACTAATCCCTGTCAGAAATTCAGCGTTGCAACATAGGTACTGAAATTCAAATTAGTGCCTTTTTTTTTTTTTAATTCCCACCGAGATTAGGTTGTACTGGAGAAATTCCTGTTGCCGCTTTAACATCTGTAAACACTTGGTTGAGAAGGATCTCAATATTGCAGTGGTCCAGCACGTTATTTTATTTTATTATTATTTTTCGAAACAGAGTTTCGCTCGTCAACCAGGCTGGAGTGCAATGGCGCTATCTCGGCTTACTGCAACCTCCTACTCCTGGCTTTAAGCAGTTCTGCCTCAGCCTCCAGAGTAGCTGAGATTCCAGGCGTCCGCCACCACGCCCGGCTAATTTTTTTGTTTTTGGTAGAGACAGGATTTCGCAATCTTGGCCAGGCTGGTCTTGAACTCCTGAGCTCAGGTGATTCACCTGCCTCGGTCTCCCAAAGTGCTGGGATTACTGGCATGAGCCACTGTGCCCTGCCCATTATTTTATTACATAGTTCACTACCTCATTGTAGTAGGTTTCATGAAATAGTTGAAGTAACAGTGGATAGATGTGATCATGTGTACTAGCTTAATTTTCTTTTCTTTTTTGAGGTGGAATTTTGCTCTTTTTGCCCAGGCTGGAGTGCAATGGCGCGATCTTGGCTCACTGCAATCTCCACCTCCTGGGTTCAAGTGATTCTCCTGCCTCAGCCTCTGGAGTAGCTGGGATTACAGGTGCTCACCACCACGTGGTTAATTTTTGTGTTTTTAGTAAGGATAGGGTTTCACCATTTGGCCAGGCTGGTCTCGAGTTCCTGACCTCAAGTGATCAGCCCTCCTCGTCCTCCTTAAGTGCTGGGATTAGAGGCCTGAGCCACTGCTCTTGGCCTTAGATAAGCTTTTGAAAAATTGGTTTTCGACAGTGCAACATGTGCATGCTTTTTTGGGGCAGCAATCAGAAGAAAGGATATACTCAAACTAGTTTATTGAAAGTGAGGCTGGGCACGGTGGCTCATGCCTGTAATCCCTGCACTTTGAGAGGCCAAGTCAGGTGGATCAGCTGAGGTTGGGAGTACGAGGCCAGCCTAACCAATATGGTGAAACCCAGCCTCTACTAAGAACACAAAAATTAACTGGGTTGGGCTGTGTGCGCTTGTAATCCCAGCTACTCAGGAGGCTGAGGCGCTAGAATTGCTTAAACGTGGGAGGTGGAGGTTGCAGTGAACTGGGATTTCACAACTGCACTCCAGCCTGGGCAACAGAGGGAGACCCTGTATCAAAAAAAAAAAAAAAAAAAGAAAAAAAAAAAAGGTGAAATAACAGATACTTGTATCAGCAAGAAACAGAAAGTTGTCTCAACCTCCCTGCTTCCCCAAAGGTAGTTATCATTAACAGCTTGGTCACGTATTCATTTAAGATTCCCGTGAAGTACCTGAGGGAATCCTAGGTGTGTGTGAACTTGTTTGAGACCTGGTTTAGAATTTATCCATAATGACTGGCATGCCTGGTAAAAGTTTCTTTATGGCCTTTTGTCTCATATTGAGAAAGGGTTCAGGTAACACAAGTACATTTTAAGGTTTGTCTGAATTTTAAAACATTTTCCTAAGTTATCTTTGAGATTCTGGGAACTTACTCTCTAAAAAATATCAAGGGGAAAAAGTGAGAGGAAAGCTTGTATTTAAAAGAAAAAAGCCTGGGCAACATCGAGACCCTGTTTCAAAAAAAAAAAAAAAAGTATATATATGTATATCTCAGTTGCCCTGAAGGTGTGGTCTTAACCCTGCTGTGCACATTAGAATCATCCAGGGTTTTGAAAACCTGCCTCTGCTTCAGTCCCACACACAGAATCTGATAACATTTCTTCAGGGAAGAAAAAACAGTTAAAATTTCCCAGTAATTCTACCTGGCTTACTAGTATATCCCTATAGGTGGTTATTTACACTTTGTTATTTTATAAGAAGTATAATTCATAACTATCAATATTTGTATTGAGAAGTAGGTGTTCTATGTTTCTTAAAAAAAATGCTTTTTCATGGTATTTCTTTTTTTTTTTGGGGGGACACTTTGTCACCCAGGCTAGAGTGCAGTGGTGCGATCTGGGCCCACTGCAACCTCCACCTCCCGAGTTAAGTGATTCTTCTGCCTCAGCCTCCTGAGTAGTTGGGATTACAGGCACCCACCACCACGCCTGGCTAATTTTTGTATGTTTATTAGAGACAGGGTTTCGCCATGTTGGTCAGGCTTGTCTTGAACTCCTAACTTCAGGTGATCCGCCCTCTTTGGCCTTCCAAAGTGCTGGGATTATAGGCATGAGCCACCTCGCCTGGCCCACTTGCATGGTATTTCGACTGTTAGAGCATGTTAGGTATATTTCACAGCTGAAGTATGTTAACAATTAGACGATAGGTTTCTTGGTATAGTAGGGGCTAATTAGGAAATTCTTACTTGGCCAGGCGTTGTGGCTCACGCCTGTAATCCCAGCACTTTGGGAGGCTGAGGCAGGAGAATCCTGTGAACTCAGGAGTTCATGAACAGCTGGCTTGGGCAACATGGTGAGACTCCCCTCTCCACAGAAATTTAAAAAAGTTAGTCAAGGTGGTATCCTGTGCCTGTAGTTCCTGCTACTCAGGAGGCTGAGGTGAGAGAATGGAGTGAGCCTAGGAAAAGTTGGCTGCAATGAGCCTTTTTTATTTGTTTGTTTGCAGTGAGCCTTGTTTGCTACTGCACTCCATCCAGCCTAGGCAACAGAGTGAGACCTTGTCTCAAAAAAAAAAAAGAAAAAAAGAAAGAAAGAAAGAAATCCTTATTTAACTGGAATACAGCTAATTAAAACCTTTGGTGGCATTCTTATGTTTAGGAAAGAGATACAAAATCACTATTGAGCTCATTCTATTGAAAAGGGTTTTCTTTTCTCCACTTGTGGTATAGCCTGGCATCATTTTCAGATTCAGCCGTTTCTTTGCATTTTCTGAGTCTTCAAAACTGTTCAGTCATAGATGATTTTTGTATATCTATGAAGCATTACACAATCCTTAACAACAACAAAAAAATATGGTTTTGTTCGGCCTTCAGTGCTAAGGCAAAAAGATTTTCTACAACATACAAATATAAAATTTGCCCAGTATTCTGGTTAATTGGATTTAAATAGTATTTTCACTGAAACAGTCTTAAACCCGTATTGCAGTGTATCTGCCAGCATAATCACTGCCTTAAGACAAGACAGAGTATATGAAAGCACCCACCCACCCCCACCACGAGAAGGAACCACACCCAGTTCTAGAGTTGGCTAAGGTCTTAGTATATTTACTCTTGCCTGTGATGATGTTTTCTCTGGCATTGTCTGTCAGAAACCTTAAAGACTGCCAGCAAGAACAAGGCATGAAAATGGTATGCCTCTGTTTTGGGTGTGTTGCTCTTGCCCTTTAGAGAATATGATTATTTTATAAGGAGACCGGGAAACTCAGGTCATAACTTTACCCTGAGTCATACACGAGTATACTCAGCAAAGTGTTTCTGTAACTCTGGTTACTTTGTTTTTAGAACTCTCCGGATGGTAAGAATGACCACCAAGGCTGGCTCTACTCAGTGGTTCTAAACCTAGGGTGATACTGCCTCTTCTTGCCCCTGGGACATTTAGCAATGGCTAGAGACATTTTTTGGGTGTTACAGCCTGTGTGGGGAGTGTTACTGGTATCTGGTGGGTAGAGTCCAGGGATGCTGCTCAATAGCCCATAATGTGTAGGATAGC